AGAACAAAAAACAAGAGGATGAGCAAAACTGCATGAACATTAGAAAAGACAGGGCTATGTAACTAAAGACTGCCTACTAACAAGAATGCACAGGCCTGTCACAAGAGCTGATCCTGAGACCAGAAGGGTGTGCTGCCTGCCAGGAGCTAAGATGCGGGATATGGACCTGAGGCTAAAGTGGATCTTAATGGGTGCTGGAAAGAATACTACTCAGAATTATGTGATATAAATTGGAGGTCCCAAACCTACTAATAATGACAGAGCCCCAAATATCTCTGGATGAGATAGCAGACAGATTTCTTCACCAAATAGTCACCTCACCAACAAGAGGAGGTGCTGTTTTAGATTTAGTATTGGTATGTAGCATGGATCTCAGAGAACTGGCTATAAAAGACAGCTTTAGAGAATCATGAGGTAGTTCAGTTTACATTAAATGGAAGGATAAACAACAATAGGTCTATGTAGGCCCAGCTGGCTTAGTCCTGGGCCCCAGCCCTGTGTTCAGGCTCACAACTAAACAGTTAAGGGTCCCCTTTCAGTCTGAGTACGGGGCGGGGCAGGCATCCAAAAGCATTTCAACAGTCTGTAGGCCAGCCCAAGCCCTGGGGCAGCATGGGGCAGGATAACAAACACACAATAAGTAGCCTTTAAACCAGCCCTTAAACCAGCCCAGGCCCTAGTGCATGGTGGGGCAGGCACACAAACAATGGTTCACAAGTTCAGGTAGGCCTGGGCCCTGGTTCAGAGCAGGGCAACAAATAGTTGAAAGGCTCAGGCTGAGTGGGGAGGTGGGGTCAGGTCTTCTTGCTGGCTGAGAGCCAATAAGCGCAGGGGGTTGATCACCACTTTAAACCAGCCCTTAAACCAGCCCAGGCCCTAGTGCATGGTGGGGCAGGCACACAAACAATGGTTCACAAGTTCAGGTAGGCCTGGGCCCTGGTTCAGAGCAGGGCAACAAATAGTTGAAAGGCTCAGGCTGAGTGGGGAGGTGGGGTCAGGTCTTCTTGCTGGCTGAGAGCCAATAAGCGCAGGGGGTTGATCACCACAGGGGG